ATTCCTATACTCCTAGCAGGTGCAGAGAGCAGTAGTTCTCTGGACAGGTAACAGTTTACATATGTTGTGTACTTTGGTGGCCATGTGAACCCAGACCTGAACGGCATAAAGGAGGGCAGGTTGAATGGCACCCCTGTAAATGAGTTTGGTAGTGCTGAGACCCAAGTGTTTCTGGAAATACAGTAGAGCGTCATTTATCCAAATCAATTGGGAACTGGGGTTGTTTGGATAATTTATTTTTCGGATAACCAATTACGTACGAAAAAATATATTAACCTATTCCATGTTGAAATTTTTCTCCGTTGCATGTCGCTTCGCGTTGAATTTTCATTGATGTTAAGCCTAACGTAAACTTTTTAAAATAATAATCATGGCTATTGTATCGTTAAAAATTATTTCTTTATTTTTTACAAACAAAATAAATATATTGAAAAATATAAAAACAAAAAAAATTATACTTTAGAAGTTAATCTAGTATCAAAAACGTTCAATTCAGCACGACACACAGTTCCCAGAAAAACACCACACAAAAGTGCCAGTGCTGCCAGCTAAAACACACACACCAACAAAAAAAATATTGAGTTGCCCAAGATATAGCCAAAGATTGCAGTGCCACAGCACTAGCAAAAATTTAAATTTGCCGACTGGAATTCTTTCAGATAACTGACGTTTCGGATAACCGATGCTCTACTGTACTAGCAAGGTCATCATTTTAGTTTTGTTTTGTGATATATTTGATGTGGGGTGTGAAGTTAAGCTTCTCATCAAGAATAACACCTAAATATTTAATTTACTTTGTCTGCTTTATACTATGTACTGCTAAATGCATGGTCAGTTTCCTGACAAAAGGAGTGTCCCTACCAACAATCATACTTTTGCATTTGTCTCTGTTAATGGGTTGCCTGTGTGCAATGCTTCACTGGTGAATTGTTTTGAGAATGTTGTTTCATATGTCCTGTAAGCAATCACTGTTCCTGTGAAAAGCTAAAATTATAGTGTCATCCACATAGCCCTGGATGCAGAAACCAGGAAGCAGGGTGTTGTTAAGGTGCAGGATAAAGTTGCAGGCGACGTTCCACAGCCAGGACCAAACCTGGATTACTCTGGACAGTCCTGAGTGATTGGGACAATGTTATGTTGAGTTGTATAAACACCTGCACTCCTGTCAGTAAAATAAGACTAAAGAAGTTTGTAAATATTTTGAGGGCAGTGATGATCATGTAAGATATGCAAGATAAAAGGTCACCAGGTATGATCAAAAGCACCTCTAAAGTCAATTATGATGACAGCGGTGTGTATGTTGTTTTGCTTAGTCTGGTGGATATAATGAGTGACTTGTTTAATGGCATCTACTGTGCCTTTGTTTTTTGAGAAGACAAACTGATTCTCATGCAGGATCCTTGCATTTACATAGGTGCACACACATACACAGGTGCACACACATACACTTGACATACATACATATATTACATACACTTGCATAGATGCCGAGTAATCCTGGTAATCATGAGACCATCTAACACTTTTCCCAAAGTAGGGAGAAGGCAGATCAATCTGCATTTCTTGTAAGTGTTAGCACTGGTAGGTTTAGGGATAAGTTTGACACTAGCCCTTTTCCACTGACTAGGAGAAAGGTCAGTGTTCAGGCAGATGTTGAAGAGAATAACAAAAGCTGTCAGAATGGCCTCAAATGTATGTTTTATCATCCTAGTGGTTATGCCATAAAGGCCATGGGTTTTGTTGTCATTGAGTGAGCAGATGGCATTACAAATCTCATTGTAAGTGAAGCTGTGGTCATTGTTGGTTTTAGGAGGAGTGTGTGTCAAACTTGTGTTAGCAGCTTGAGTACTGTCATCTTCAAGTAGGTTTTCAGAAGGATATAAGCTAGTGAGAATGTGAATGATAGTGTCTTCAGTATTGTTTGTGTAGTGTCCGTCTGGGAGCTGAATAGTGGAGGGGGTGTGGAGTTGGCATTTTTCCTTGAAAACTAAGTAGTGATGATCTAACCGAAGGTTGTGAATACATGTGTTGGTACAATAGTCTTTCCAACTGTTCATTCTGGTTTTGTTAATAAGGGTTTTGTAAGCATTGTGTTTGTCTGTACTGCTCTCTTAGTGAAGCCTAATGTTAGGGTCCTGTTCACTTCTAAACTGCCTCCCTATTTATGTACTTTCTTAGCATAAGGTTGCTGTTGAGAAAAAATCACACAGGAAAACTTTTAGTGGAAAAAGGTCGTTTTATTAATAGGAAAGGATATGCATTTTGGGCTTAATGCCTCTCTTCAGTCCTGAGATTATAGTGACAATTAGGATAACATGGCTCGTGAGAAGACATAGGTGAAAAAAGGAGGGACCCTTATACACAGTATAACATTATAACACATGCTGTAGGCTGCAAAATAATTCCGATGAAATGTACAAAAAACAGGCCAGATAGGAGAGGTTAAAAAGATGTAAGTATTTCCTGTATCATTCACTGAATGTTTGATGCTTCCTTATTCTTCTAACTTGTTTTTTCTTGTTGTCAAGCTCAGCAATCCACCAAGGAACCTTTTTGTGTGTTCTTTGTCTGAGCTTGGAGGCAGCGATGTAAGAGTAAGTGATTGTTTCAGTGAATCTAGTGACCAGAACATCTAAAATATCCTGACAGTAGTGACTGTGGTGAGGAGTGCCAGGCCAGGTATTCCTGAAAATGTCACAAAAGTACTGCCAGTTAGTGTGTGTATAGTGGAAACTATCAGTACAAGTATTACTAGAAGTAAGAATGTTTATGAATATGTACTGTACCTTTGGTCACTGGCAGAGTCTATGTAAGAAGTGTAACAGTGTTCAACCCTAGGGGCAATGTGCTTGTTATCTAAAGTTAAATTGATCGATCCAACTTCCTCTCGTACAAGAGTAGGGTTGGAAGGGTGCTTGTGTTCAGATAAGTAAGGTAATGCTGGGCCATGGTCTCATTGATTATGGTACCCCCTAGAGTCTTCAATATGGCTAAGCCAAGTTACAGACTTGGCATTAAAATCACCTCCAATTACTATAGGTTTGTCTTTGTATGTGTTGAGGAGGTGTACATCCTTAATGGCTGTCTCAATGTCTGCTGTGTCAGGAATGTAGACAGAACAAATATGAAAGTGAATGTTGTTGTCAGTAATGCAAACTATGGTTATTATTTGGTTGTGTGTTGGGCAACAAAGCAGGCAGTAATGTTCTTGTTTCTTATGATGATACCAGCCTTGGTGCAGTAGCCAGGATCCTGGGCTGGGAAGATTTTCTAGTCATTGAACCTGACTATCTTATTGTTAATGGTAAAGGGCTCTTGGAGAATGATTGTCAGTATCATGTGTAGTGGACATGAGGGTGAGGAGGGAGCAGGCAGCTTTGCATTTCTGTACATTAATTTGTATGATCTTATAGCTACCTATGTTAGTGTTGTATGTGGGTGTATTATTCATAGTTTGTTCTAATGGTAGCTTGTATTTTCATGTGTTTGGTAATAGAGGACTTTTGAGAGAAAGCATTATGTGCAGTCTTGTGTTGCTCCCATCAGGTAAAGTGTTGTTGACCTTTACACAGTTGATGCAGCATGGTTCCTCACTATGTATACAGCACCTTATAGCTGTGGTTACTCATACAATGGCTACAATGTTGTTTTTCTGTGCATTTGCTAGCTAAGTGACCATAATCACTGCATTTGTAACAGCAGGTTAAAGGAATTTAGTCATCGACAATGCACACTAATGTGTTGTTGTTGCATGTAATCAGCATGTTTCTTAAACTGTGTGTAACTTGCAGGATGACATGCAATCTAGAAGTGTCTGATATAATGTGATTTATTTTGTTAAGAACACAGGAACTTTTTTAAATTCCTGAAGACTGTCTTGTTGATAGCTGTGTTCTGGTGGTAGAATTCCTCAGTGAAGATGCTGGTGACAGTGTTGCCCAGGACATTTAGTAGAATTACCTTTTGTTCCAGGGCTGCAGAGTACATAATGTCTAACTTATCTTTTTTAATGTGTAAACTTTGTTTATTGCAGCCATCATTTTGTCACTGTCACCCTTTGTATTTAACTGTATTCAAACTCCATTGTTCCTGACTGGACGCTGAACTGTGATATCCCAAACTGACTTAGTTTAATGTTGTCCATGAGAGCTTGTCTAATAGCAGTTTGTGAAAAACTAATGTTTTCCTTGGGATAAACAAAAACAGCATGAGCACTAGCACTAGTACTGGATTGTTTTTGAACAATGTTCTGTATTATCTTAGTGTTGAATGTGGTAATCCTAGTGATACTTGCATAAGAAGAGGTTGGCAGACTAGTTGGAGAAGTATTTTTTGTAGTGTTGACCAGTTTGTTTATTTTCTCATCAATCATAAAGCCAACTGTTCAGAGACCTACATCTCCAATTTATTAACAGGGTCTGAAAGAGATTTCTGCACTGTGTTATCGATTACTTTATTCAATATATTGACATCACTATTGGAGCAGCTAGAGAGAGAACAGATAATCTCATCAGCTAAACCAAAAAGATTGTTGGCAGCTTTGTAAATTTTAGATCTATGTTCCTTGCATATAGGAATGCTGCCATCTTCTGGACAGTTGGCCAAAATTATGTCCAGAAGCTCCCGTAATTTTGTGTGTGCTGACAAGACATCTGGACCTAATCCCACAGTCCTAGAACCAACAGAACTAGAAGAACTGGCTATTTAGAACTATTAGTGATGTGGTTACTCAATCATTACATTGCATTTATATTTTATCTCTATAATATTTAAATTATCATGTTCAGTTATATTTCAAACTAACTTAATGGCACAGAATAGTTTATCTTATTCATCATATTATGAATAGAATACATAGAAATAAAATTTTAAATGCATACAAAAAGTTTTATTTTAGTAATGCATAATGTTTAATAAAACAATTCTCAGATTTTTTTGATATAATAATAAATTTTTAATTATTTTTCTTTGGTCTTAATATTTTTTTTTTTTTAAATAAGTTTCAACAGGTACCACACAAAAATCTTGCCATGACCATTGCCATCGGCACCATTCCCCAGTATCAAAATTTCGACATATTAGATCCGCTCAGTACTCTAGTGGTAGTGCTGATTCATCTATTTCATCGCCGACATCAGAAAACAGTGCTTCAAGCTTACCCTCACATAGCAGAGGACAATGGATGTCTGGAAGAAAATTGTCGCCTAGATCAAGACATGGAGATACATATTCAGGTGATTGTTGTTTTTGAGAATATTCTTTTAATATAATACAGTATTTTTCCTGTGTAAAAAAAAAAAAAAGCTATATATCCAGATCTAGAAAAATTGACCCTGCTGACTTGTGGCAGCAATGTTTGGGGTCCACATCTAGAAGAAATTTTTAAGTTGGTAATAAAGCATACATAAGATTTAAAATAAACTTCTGTAAAAATATATTTTATTTTCTACATTTTATTCTAGTAAACAGTTTTAGCTTAAGATTTGATCTTAAATCGTAAGCTCAAACTGTTTTCACTTCACACAATTTTCTTTTGTCTTCACAATAAGTTTCAGGAGACCTGTATTTCTCAACACTCTAAAGGAAATACATGTTTGCATTTGATGATTTTAAGGGAGAACATAAACAAGGCATTTTCTTATAGTTTAACATATATCTAAGTTCCAATAATGTAGTTTTGTTTTGGTATCTGAAAGCATCTCTGTAATTTGTTTCTGATAGTTTTTCTTTCAAACAGCTTAGAGTTTGTGAGAAGTTATAATTTTATAAATTGTTGATGGATATTGATGATTTGACTTGTATAGGAGCTAATGTTTTGCATATTTTTCATCAAAATTAATTATATATCAAATATCAATAGTAAAAAAAATTGATACTTTTTGATGGTCAAGATGAAAAAAATTGGACTGAGAAGAGGTTAAGTTAGTTAATAGAAACAACAATATAGAAGTATGAGATTTTCTAATTAAAAAAATCTTTAAAAAAAGGAAATTAAAAAAAAAAGTAAACTTTTTTTCAATTTTAAAAAATTTAGTTATTATCTTTATTAATTAATATTAATTAATATTGAATTTGCTCATTGTGGCTGCACGCCACATATACAGTGTAGGGCCATTAAGCCACAGTTATTGGGGTCCAAATTGCTTAACCACGGCTTAGGTAGTCCTCGGCTTAAATATTTTTTGATAATGCATAAAGTACAATAAATAATGAAAAAACAATGTGTTTTTTGATTAACAGTCTTGAAATTAATAATAAATTATTATTTAAGAATAACAAAATATATCAAATACATGTCAACACCTGTCTCAAATGTTTGAGATGCCATGTCTTGATCCGTATGATCCATAGTGTCAAAAAATTGGGATTCAAGCTTTTTGCACAGCTTAAGCGAATTCATGGATTACTGGCCTGCAGCTTAATGGCTCTACACTGTATTTTCATTTTATTTATCAGTCAATATTTTTGTTAAACCTTTTGTTTCTACACTTCCTCTTCTTTCATTTCTAAAATTTCTGTCCTTTTGTTTCTCCCTACCCTTTATTGTGGATGGTCGACTTCAAGGAAAGGATTGAAAAGGGTTGAGCTGCCTTGAGGAATCAAGAGCCAGAACAAGGGCTTTTGTGGTTGAGGTACAAGGGAGGAGACTCCAATATATCAGAATATATTGAGTCTGGGTGTATGTTATTGAAATTAAGGACTGTACAATTCTAATTAGAACAAAACAATGATTTTAATAACAAGTAAGGATTAGGACCAACTAACGGTAAGGTTGACAGGGGACAGATATACTACAGTTTAACGATGACACGATATAGTCCTAAAGACAAATGTTAATTTCCTAAACTTATTACTATTTTATTTACAGTAGAGCCTCAATTATCCGACTCAATTGGGGACTGGGGTTGGTCGGATAATTGAAAAGTCGGATAACCGAAAAGTATAAAAAAATCCATTATTAGTGTAGTATATTATTATATCCCATGTAATTAGTATATTAGTATATCGCTATTAACCTACTTCGTGTTGAATTTTCATCGATGTTAAGCCTAACAAAAATTTTTTAAAATAATAATCATCGCTATTGTATTGTTAAGAATTAGAAAATTAAGCCTCGTTTAAATACTGGCTCCCTTTCATGGTTGAATCAGTGTTGCCAGCTAAAACACGTAAAAATAATATTAAAGTAGCCAAGACATAGCCAAATATTGTAGCGCTATATCACTAGCGGACATTTGAATTTGCCGACTAGGACGGTCGGTTAATCGGGGGTCAGATAATCGAGGCTCTACTGTATTTTTTATTTATTTATTACGCATACTGGATACACTTCTTGATGCAGGGAGCAAAATCATCTCCCAAAAACAACAAGACACTTAGATACAATAGGCATAAGATTACAATCAAAAATTATATATTACAATATTAATTTAAATAAATAACAATTTAAATATTAAGATTTAAAAATCAAATATAATAATTAGTTAAAGTTTAAAGTTAAAGTTTGGGAGTATCTGTCAAAAAATAATACAAAACCAATGAGCAAGATAAAAGTAAAACAATCAACCAAATGACAAAGCAAATTGCTTACCTATAAAGAAGAAATAAATTAGTAAGGAAAACACAGCACTGACAGATGCTCCCAAACAACACCAGCAGCAAAGCCAATTTTATAATTGAGGAATCACACCCCCTAAGAGAAAAAAACAACAGATCTTCTTAGAAAACAAAACACTTTAAATTGATAACATGGTTCTGATAAAGTTTTAAGAAATAAAGACCTGGTAAGAACTTCGCAACCAAAAATTTCATCACGTAACACCTTAAGATGCCCACATTTAGCCAAAATATGCCAAGCATCCACAATTTCGTTCTCAACACAAAAGTTACACAATTCTCTCGAATAATTATTCAAAAAGTTCAGAGAATTACACCTAACCTGTATAAATAAAGACAAAATATTGTGGTATTCGTGTGATTGAAGCAGTACGATCCACGAATGAAACGTACAGAAAGGAACCTACGACAGTTACAATTATAAACACTCTCCTTTATTCAATACGAACAGGTTCGGTTTCATCAGGAATCCCAACTGTTTTGTGATTTAATTTTACAATGTGAGGGGTATCAACAGGAATCTTTCCAGTTTTACAATAAATCACGGTACGAAATCTTACTGGCGCGTAACAATTAATATTCTATAGTCGCGTAACTAAAATCTAACTTAATCCTAACTTAAGGCTAACTTAATACTAAGGAAATGACAAGGAAGATAGGACAGCGGGAAGGTAGAAGAAAAGAAGAGATAACTTCACCCGGGGCTTTCTTATGTTCTGGTGTCTTTGCGCTTTGGGTAGGACTGTCTCAACGACAGTGGCTCTTGCTTCCACTATGTTCTTAAACACGTCAGTCGTCGTATCTCTAATCCTGAAGATTCCAATCTATCTGGAGGTGTCCACAAGCCTTATGACCTGATCGTGGATCCTCCTCAGTCCGTCACCCGATTCTCCCAAGAACTTCCTTTGTTCTTCGCTACGAAGTCACGTTCAGGTGTCCCTTCGACACGTCTCGCTCTCTTCGTGTCTCGTCAACGACTGCCTTTTTCCCTTCTACCGTTTATTGTTCTCCTTTTGTTCTCAGCACGACTAATCCTACCCACTATTGTTCTTTCCGGTTCTAAGAACGGCTAATCTCACCCAAAGGCTATAACAGTCATTTGGAAGGTTCTAGAAGGAACAGACAAAGGAAATAGAAGAAATAGGGAAAGAGAAAGATTGGAATTATACTATATACAATTAAGATGCATATGTATATATGGCCGACGGCCACAATATTAAGGGAAACATCTTGATTATATAAAAAATTATCAAAAAAGTAATGTTTAAATCCTTATACCAGCAATTATATATACTATTATTTTATTTTTTGATTTATATTGTATAAAAAGTTATCAAAAATGTTAACGAGGAAAAGAGAGCAGTCCATTAAATCCACATCATTATTAATAAGATTAATACCATGATTATTACAAGTATCAATAAAATAATGTGTCCAGTCTATAGACTTTTTATTAAGTATAAATTTCAGACAAACTTTACTCAAATGATGATCATCAAGATTAGAAATTCTTATAATCCAATTTCTTATCCTACTAAATAATATAAATTTTATATGGGTCAAAGCATATTCCATCATGATTAAATAGCCTGGAGTACAATGAGGTAAATAAAATAAGTTTTTAATAAATTCAACCTGTATGCCATCACCATTGGCCAAGTTAAAACCCCAAATCTCTGAAGCATATAATAAAGAGGGCAAAACCACAGTTCTCAATAAACGTAAATAATCAGTCAGATTACGTAGTTTGGCAGATCTCCCTAATTTAATAACTTTATTCATCGATATTCTTGCATGAGTTCTCTTATTAATGTAATGCGTATGGAATAAACCATTAAATGAAAATGTAACACCCAAATATTTATAGTTAAACACTGCTTGAATTGGAGAACCCTTAAACCACCATTTATCCACCTCGTACTCTTACCTCCTTCTAAATACAACAATCTTAGACTTATTCAAATTCAATTTCAAATCATTTTCATCTAAATAAATTGCCAATTTATCAATCAATCTCTGCAATCCAACCACAGAATCAGATAAAACTACAATATCATCAGTGTAAGCCAATATTTTAATCTGGAAACCATCTATTTCTATACCATCACCAGAATAACTAATAATGCCAAAGAGATCATTCAAAAAAATACTAAACAAAATTGGACTCAAAATACAGCCCTGCTTAACACCAGTCTTAGAGAACATTAATGGCGAACAGTTACCTCCAACTCTTACCGTAAGTGAGGAGTTTTCATACAAAGCAACGAGTAAAGACACAAATTTTATAACTAAAACCGTAACGCATCATCTTTAACCACAGCAAATTCCTACAGACTCTATCAAATGCAGAAGATAAATCGACAAAAAATGCATACACTTTCCTATGTTTCCGTAAAAAAATTTTCTGGATAACCGTATACAAAACAAAAATATTATTTAATGTGAAATAGCTAGCCCTGAAACCTGCCTGATTTTCATGCAATATATTTTTAACTTCTAACCATCAAGTCAACCTTCTATATAGAATAATACAAAACAATTTCGAAGCACAAGATGATAACCAGATACCTCTATAATTACCAGGAACATCCCTTCCTACTATTCTTATAAATCAGAA